CGCTGTCGTGTATCTCATCATTATATTTTATTTTTATTTATTTATTTTTGTTTATTTTTTCTTTTTCTTGTTTTTTTTTTTCTTATTTGAATGTGTACTATTTGTTCGTGTTCTAAATACAAATGACCAAAATTTCACGTTCCACATTTTAATGGGCATTTTGATGTTTATCATAAAAATATGTTTCTGCAACAATTTGTTCCGGATGGGTATAATCACGAATATTGCTACCATTATTTAATAATTATACTGTGATTTAGTACAGAATATTTATATTGCAGTTTCAAAAATATTTTATGTAATGAATAATAAAAATTTCGCTATATGTACCCTATAATCCTTACTTATATTACAAATCTAAAAGTGAGTTTGTGACTTATAGCGCCTTAACTAATCACTATAAAATTTGGTTTACACCTAGTATATGAGAGGAATATATTTACCAGAGGGAGACTTTGTACAAAAGTCGATTGCTTGGGTACCTCTGTCCCATTCGTGTTCCAACCGTGAAGCAGTTGTGTTTATATGGCTGTGTTTCAGTTTGAAGGGTGGGATATGGCGTGAAATTACTGGGTACAGAGGAATAACACCTGAGCCCTCAGGAATGGCAACGCATGGGGGATATCATGGGCGAAACAGTATACTCTGTTATGTCCACGGTACTGCTCATGTCTATAGGCGACGGTTACCACTTTCCATCAGGTGGATCGTCAGCTTGTTTGCCATTCTAAGTTGTATAAAAAAAAGGAATACCCCATACTGTAGTTTTTTGGGAAAGCCTTGGTAGGGAGCTTATTTCATAACCTGAGTGTTCGTAGGAGAAACAATCTCTGAAACCGCGTTGTACGCGAGTTATTACATTAATATGGTTTATTTGTGTTATCCATCACCAAAGACTTAAAGAGAAATTTAAATAAACACACGAAATTTTTTATTTCCTCTATATTCAAACCTACGACCAGTACAATCTACAAGTCAGACTAGGACCACAGGACCACGAAGAAACCCCAAAAAAATCCCTAAAAACTTTCATTTAATCAAATTGTTTTTTACAAATTAGTCAAATTATTTTAAATTATTAAACAAGTATCAATCAAACGGTAAAAGTTAAGGTCACGGTTAAATAATGATTCCATCATTAAATTTTTTTACAATCAGCATCGATATCTCGTAACATACAAAAGGAAATGAAGAAATTCAGTTAAATTGAAATCCTTCGAGAATTAAGTAGTGTATTGATTGCGTAACTTGGAAATATGTTTATTTATTCCCGTGACTTTGCCTGTGTGGTGATATTTGATAGATATATTTGATATGACCATGTTCCAGTTTGAAGGATGGGATATGACAGTGAAATTACAGGGTACAAAGACATAACACCTTAGTTATATATACATATATATATACCAACAACAATTTTGCATGCATCCTCAAAGAGGGTTGACATCAGGCAGGTGGCCAGTTGTAAATCTATAAGCCATATCTTTTTGTAATATGGATAAAAACATATTGTTTACGCCAACCCTAAATAATAATTGGGATAAGGGTAGGAAGAAGATATACTAACGATTTTGATTTAATTCTGTATTTGAAATAATTCAATCACGATTGATGTTGGTCAATTTAACAAAGCTCACGCTATTTTATTATACATCAGCTAAACTATGACAGATAATAAATAGATCCGGCGAACAATTGCTACATTTGTTTCTCTGTATCTTGTAGAACGCACTAATGATGTGCTTGTTAAATTTTGTAAATGGAATGGAATTTATCCAATGGTGAGATAATGTATGTGGGAGATACAAATGATAGTGTTGATTTTCTTATCTCTGTTATAAATGTGAGTGTTTGTGTTTATTACATAATTTTACTTAACAGTTGAACGAATTTGAATGTAATTTAGATAGATAGATAGACATTTGACACCTAAGTACACAGGAGTGGCAACGCATGGGAGGTATCATGGGCGAAACAGTATACTCTGTTATATCCATGGTACCGCTCATGTCTATAGGCAACGGTTACCACTTTCCATCAGATGGGCCGTCAGCTTGTTTGCCATTCTAAGTTGTATAAAAAAAAAGACATTTGTTACTTTAATACACCATACATGAGATGGCAAACATAGCATAGACAACAAAATTTAAATATAATTTAATGAAGGAACAATAAAGATCAGTAAGTGAATGAAAAGTTGAACAAATAAATAAATAAATGAACGATGGAATGAATGATTAAATATTTGAATAATTCCAACTGACTGAAATGAAAATAAAATTAATTCTTTGTGTTGCTCTCAACGATAGATACAATTGTGCAATACGTTACTGTTTCTTTCTTGTAGGCATTTTTATTTCTCATACATGTGTATGTATGAGAAACATATACAAGCTCATATTATTCTCAGACCGTAACAAAAATAAAAGATCATGGTACGTAATAAAATCTCATTACGCGAAAACCAGTTAAGCTGGAGTCCTGATATTTTTTCATTTTCTATAAAATTGGCTGAGAGTAACGGTACTGAGACGTCGGTAACTTGGGGTAAATTGACAAAAGTTGGTGAAGTGAACGCGAATAATTTGTGGGGTAACAACTCTAACTTCACTATAGCTGTAATGGAAAATAACTGTAGTACGGAAGCACAAAGGAGGGTCGGCTTGGATGGCTCAATTTCGAAACAATACCGCTACTAGTTTTTGCCGGCATCTTCGTCCGCGTGCTCAGGATATATTCACCGACCGAGTTAAAAAATAACCTACCTGCTCTCTCCCATATAGTACGTATATATATAAAAAAAAAATTATTGGTCAAGATGCTAACATGTAACAAATAAACACACTTGCACATTCATAATATTGATATAGCATTATATTTTTTAGTGAAAAATTTAATAGTATGAATTTAGCAAACAAGCATACAGCCCGTATGATGATTAATACTCACATGCCACAGCCTTTGATAGCTGAATGTGTAATGTAGTCGATATGTAGTTAGTGATCCAAGTCTTTGATACTCTATTCTCTCAGTCTACGAAGATAAGATATATAAGATAACTAATTTTAAATCCACTTGTATATATATATATATATATATATATATATATATATATATATATATATATATATATATATATATATATATATATATATATATATATATATATATATCCTAATATTATACTCGTAAATGTGAATATTTGTATAGACGTTTGGATATTTGTTACTCAATCACGGATGAATAAAAATGAATGAAACCTAGTACACGAATAGGTTACGTCCTAATTTAATGCATAGAAAACTTTTTATACTATAATAATGCACATAGATATAGACGTGGAAAAAAGCTAGTAGCAAATGCTTGGTAGTTTTAATAAAGTAATTTTACTTCAACGAAATAAATTTAATCATACGACTGATTGAACAAGAAAACCAATACAAAGCAATTATAATGCTATATTTGTATTAATTAAATTCCATTCGATTTAACAAACATCTAATGTAATAGTTAGATGTTTACTAAGTCGAATTTAATTTAATTCATTGTTCCTGGAATTAACAGTTACTGGAACTACAAACAGATAGTAACCAAAGCATAATTGTATATTAAGATTAATTAACATAACATAACATGCAAGCTATATATTACGAAAAAAATAGATGTAAATATTGATACAGATTATGCAATTACAAAAGGTAATCTTATCGGTATAAGCAATCTCTTACAGACAACCTGACATAAAGTATCAAATGTACAATAAATCAATATTCATCGAAAACACCTACTTCAATCGTGATAAAATTAATATCACATGTCAATTACAAAATTAATTATCAATATTGGCTCAAAATTAATGAATTTATCGCGAAATATACACACGAAAGAAAATACCATCGAATTGAAAGCTACCTCTATGAAGTAGGTTAAAAATAGGCAAATAATTGCTTCAACGTTTAAAGCAAACTCGACTAACGCAATATTATTAAATTATTTCAACACCGATACAGAAATAGTTTAGTTGGCGAACAATTTTCATTAATCAACTAAAACGGCGGCGAATACTTATAATTAAATTTCATAGTCTTAATGCATCACTCATTCACAACATGATATTATGTATACAACAATTACAAAACATCTTTATTTTACTAGACTTAATAACAAGCTTAAAATCATCACTTTTTTATGATTTTACTGCTAAGTTTGGGATGCTGTTATCAGCTGGAAAAAATTGGCAATAAAACTCAGCACTGACTTTTTATCATACATCACTTTATTTTAATATCCCATGCGTTGCCATTCCTGTGGACTACAGTGTTATTGTGATTTTGATGATTATTGTTAGTATGCCCGGCATTGATTAGGCCATCTCTTAATTTCCCGTGGATGCCATAAGAGGCGACTGAGGCAGCTTGTAGTGAAGGGATAGACAGCGTCCCTCTTAAAACGTCACTAAAAACCAATTTTCAGTTGCAAAGCGTGGCAGCTACTAGCAAAACTCGCCTTATGGAAGAAGCTATGTCTAGGAGTGAACAGTTAACAGCTGATACAACAACAGTGTTATACTTCCGTACCCTGTATTTGTTAGTTTATACAATGATACAACAACAGTGTTATACTTCCGTACCCTGTATTTGTTAGTCAATAAAAATACAAGTGTAACGTCCCTATTTCAAGGAATTGGTATTATCAATACCTTTATCGCCCCCTACTGAGAGTGTCTACCCTAAAGAGAATATTACTCTATTTTTATCCCGCTAACGCTTCCCTGATTCGATATGGGATTTTATTCGAAACTTCCTGTTCCTCAAAGTTGCCTCTTACAGAATTATCGAGATAAAAAGCCAAGTTAGCTTGAAAAGAGCACTTATAAAAATCGATCACATTATTTCGTAATAAACACATAAGAACATGAAACTGAAAACAAAGCCAAATAACAATGGTAATTGTTTAATTGTAACAACACTATTAGTATTCTCAAATACCTTTATAATGGCACTTGCGAAATACAATCCAATGGAAAGCCATTGAGTATATCGCTCTCGAATATTTAAGAGAAATAACTATAGACTTTACGTTTCTAATTGTTGAAAAGAAGTGAAATAAAACTGAGGTCAATCAACTTTTATATTCCATAAAAGAGTAAAATCTATTTTAAAACAAATGTACACATACTAAAGTTCTATTGAATAAAAAGAGAGACAAAAGAAAAGAAAATATTATAGTTTTAATAAATATTTTCTAAACAGTGAAGGTAATGAAGTTAAAAGGAGCACAAGTACTGCAAATACTGCTGTGTTTCCAGCCGTTCACGGTGTCGACTCGAACGTATGGTACTTCTGGCACTTTAGTAGATTTCACAGATCCCAAGGTACAATTTATTATTACTTATTCATATATAAATAATATTTTACCAGAGGGAGACTTTGTACAAAAGTCGATTGCTTGGGTACCTCTGTCCCATTCGTGTTTCTACCGTGAAGCAGTTGTTTGCATGGCTGTGTTTCGGTTTGAAGGGTGGGGGGATATGGCGTGAATTTACTGGGTATAGAGAAATAACGTCTGAGTCCTCAGGAATGGCAACGCATGGGGGGTATCATGGGCGAAACAGTATACTCTGTTATGTCCACGGTACTGCTCATGTCTATAGGCGACGGTTACCACTTTCCATCAGGTGGGCCGTCAGCTTGTTTGCCATTCTAAGTTGTATAAAAAAAAAACAGTTTTTGTTTACTTGATCGATATAAAGAAGCCTATCTATCCTTCTTCATTCTATATAGTACATGTATAGCATTTAACATATTCCAGTTACGCAGCAGAGACGCTGGAAAAATAAACAAATGAATTTGTTTAAGAAGGTTTTTAATTTGATTGCATTTTTTTTCTCGTGAATTATAAATTGCGCGATATCTTTTCCAATTGTGCTGTAATTTTGATGTTTCTTTTTCTAAATGGAAGATTCTTCTCACATAATGATCCCATATTGAATTCGATATAATAGAAGTCATTGTTTTATTGTGAAACTAGTGACTGGCCTCGGCTTCTCATGGGCTTTTTTTTAATAAAATATAACCCAAATTATAACTCATTGATAGTGTAACTTTCTTTAGATGAAAGAATGTTTAAAATCGGTTAAGCATTTTTTTGGAATTTATAATATTAACATAAAATTAAACATTACCTTACTTTAATAATTTTAAACTATAATAGTTTCACCTTGTAAATATAAATAAAGAATCAGCTGACGAATTTCTTTTCCCCCAAGGTTCAAGGCCATCTAGATGCGTTGGTCCGGATGGCTCAATCCTGCGTGATCAAGGTCCGAGCCACTCCTAAAGATGTGAGGGCGTACTTTACCAACTCATCCCCAGTGTCCAGATCTGGGCAATGCTTCGCCGCATGCATGCTGGAGCAAAGCGACGTTATCAACCATGGAAAGGTAAATAACTTTAATTACCAGAGGGAAATTTGTACGAAAATTTTCTTGAGGACCTCTGTGCTATTTCTATTTTATCGGTGACAGCTATACAGTATGTCTGTTTCGTTTTAATACAATACCATAGTCCCAAGGAATGGCACGCGTGAAGGTTTTTTGATGGGTGAAAATGGTATGGTAACCCCGCCTGAGCTAACGAGATACGCTGGCGGAGCACCAGTGAAGGGTAATAGATGAGAATGAAAACAAGCCAGTTAGCCTATCATGACGAATTCATCAGGAATTAACCATGATAGTTTCCAGAGGGAACCGTGAGGAGGTCGACCTGGTTGGGTATATTGCTAGCAATAGAATTCTCAGTCTCCATTACTAACAATCCCTTTTCCCCCACGAGTGAGGGTTACCATGGATGTCATAGTATGTAATGTATGTAATGTTACCGCTTTTCATCAGGAGATTCGTTAATTATCTCAACTGAATTTAGTATTTGATATGTGTCACATACGAATAGAATGCACATATCGAATCAAATAAAATTACAACAATTTCCTTTATTTTATATACGGTAACATAATAAAAAAGTAATAAATGACATTTTACCAAGGTCCGCGTCACTTTGAACAAAAAATATTATTATGATATTATGCAACCGGTTGAACTTTTAAGTTTTATATTATAAAGTAGCTAGGTCTTTTATAATACCTATCTGGATCGATATTTTGGACATAGGCATATTCAAAAGAATTTAACAACACTACGAATGCTCATTTATTTCGTATTACTTCTAGGTTGCATAGTTTTATTTTGTAGTTTTTTCAATATAAGTGAAGTAACGACTCTTAAATTAAAACGTAAGGATTAAATTATTAACTTTGTAATTTAAAAATCATAAAAAATTCTGATAAATATTACTGAAATACAACCGTATAATACGATACTCGCCATTAGACAGAAAATTTCTTTGTTAAAAGCTATTTAAGGCTTCAGTGTAATTATTTTTTCTTTTTAACAGAATCGGAAACCTTGTCAGAGTTGATAAAGTCGATCTAACTTTGTGACAGTAAAGAGAAAAAAGTTACTTCTACCTTGTTTATTATTTTTAACGTGTAACTTGCTAAAGAGAAAATTAATTTATAGCGAAAATGGGCCATAAAATTCTTATTACCACCTACTATTTCATTTTATAATTATAAAGATTTATAGTGGGCTACGTTTTAGGTAATGTTTTAAGAAAATATTTGACTTAAATGTCCATGCTCACTTTCTTATTCTATTATCTTCATCAACAAAAAGCCTAATGCCTTAATTAAGCCTAATGGTCAACTACAACTCAATGTTAGGATGAATTTCATGAATACGAAGGTTATAAAACGGATTTCCAACTGAGGTTTTTCCAAGAACAAGAATCACTGCATGGGGTTCTTCAAAAAGGGGTAAAAATAATTCTTCATTGTTGACGATAAGGACGCAATATTCTAATTGCCTTTAATTATATAAATAGTGTGTTTTATTTCACGACCAATTCTACACCAAAAAGGGTCGATATTTTTTATCTAAGTATGCATAAATTATTATTAAAACCTTTCAATTGTAATTAATTATTAAGTAACCGCAGTTAGGTTTTGGTGATGTTTTAAGAGGGACGTTACTGCCCATCCTTGACCATAGCTGCCTTAGTCACCCCCTACGACACCAATGGGAAAGGGGTAATCCATTCTTTGTTGCCGAGACCACCCAGCATATACAAAATACTCAATTTCAAATGTGGCTTATTCTATAGTTTTACATTCACATCGATATTTCCAATCCTAAAATAACGGGGGGAAGGGATTGTTAGTAATGAGGACATTAGTCCCCATTGCTGTCGATATACCCTACCAAGGAGACCTCCACGCGATATCACCTGGAAACCATCATGACTAATTTATCGTTGAATTCGTCACGATGGGCTAATTTACCTGCCTTTTAATTCTCAACTGTCCCTCACTGGTACCCCGCCAGCGTATTTCGATAGCGCAAGCAAGATAACCATTTCATTACCATCCATTGAACAATAAATCCTAAAATAACTATCTAAATATAAACCCTATAATAACTTTTAATATGTTCTCTGATAAATGAGAAACAAGTAACTTTGGAAACAAAAATAGATTTGCCTCCCGACTAAGTTAATACTCTTATTACATAGAGAATAAAGCCGTATGACCTTTCGTATTACGATGAATCTATCATGTTAGACATTGTAATGGACTAGTTACTTAGGCGCCCACGAAGCCTAAACTTAGTACCTATCGTAAGTAAACTTGGGTAAAAATGACCTTATATATGTAATTACACTATCATCATCATTTCAGCCGTTAACTGTCCACTGCTGGACATAAGCCTTCTCCAGAAGGGGAGTTTTTCCATTAGTTACCACGCTTGGCAGGCGAGTTGGCAACTGCATTTAGGCCTTTGGGGGATGTTTTTTATTCAATTTAGAATGGCAAACCAGTTGACTGTCCACCTGGATGGAAAGTGGTAACCGTCGTCTATAGACATGAACAGTACCATGGACATAACAGAGTATACAGTTTCGCCTGTGATACCCCCCATGCGATGCCATTCCTGAGGACTCAGGTATTATTCCTATGTACCCAGTAAATTCACGCCATATCCCACCATTCAAACCGAAACACAGCAATGCAAACACGCCTGCTTCACGGTTGAAACACGGATGGCTTATATCCACTTTTTATCCTAAACAATCCACATATTCTGATCACACGGACAGAGTTACGAATAGTAACTAGTATGTTTGTGTATATAACATACGGTTCAATAGGGCCGTCTGTCAGGGATTGTTAGTAATGCCGCTACCAGTTCCATCGCTAGGAACATACCCTATCAGGTCGACCTCCACGTGGTCCCCCCTGGAAATCATCATGTTAAATTCTAGGTGTATTCATCAAGATAGGCTATTTGACCTGCCTGTTCATTCTCATCTATCATCCCTCATTGGTACCCCGCCAGCGTATATACCGTTAGCGCAGGTGGAGTTACCATTCCATTGCCGTCCATTTAAAAAAAAAAGTGGTCGTCTTTCCAAGATTCTAAAAACTGTTCTACATACATATATTTTTTCTATTTGTTTTATAAATCAGGTCAACAGAGAACTTCTGATACATCTTGCGAGCCTCGTCAACGGGAAGAGCTCTCGAGTAGTCCGCAAACTAACAAGTATCTCCCGGCTCTGCTTGGACAGCATAGAGGGCTTGTCTGACAGATGTCAACTGGCCTCCACGTACAACGATTGCCTTAACGAGAACATGATAGAATTTGCATTCCCCCTCGACCTAGCTGAAGAGGCCGTGAGGAAAATGCCCTTCCATCTGATACAGGCTAAGTAAGTTTATTTCATACTAGATATATTAATTCGATAGCTCGATTGTAATAAATATTTATTTTCAATTACACAGCACTGCACCTCACCTTTACTTTCTTACCCGTTTTGGCAATATAAATCTCATACTGCAAAAAACAATCGAAGACTCGTCACGTCCTGTTTGTTTATTTGTTACCCCTTGGCGCCTTAACGGCTCAGCCAATCGTTTCGGAATTTAGTATACACGTACAATTTTGAGATGGAAAAGGACAGACTATTATTTGCCCCGGTCAATCGATGTATCCCGATTACGTGGACGAAGTTGTTGGTATACTCGTATGCTAGTATATATATTGTTTTTTTTTTTTATTATTATTCTCATAATTGTATCAGCCGTTAACTGCCCACTGCTGGAACATAAGTATTTTATTTATTTATTTTATTTTATACAACTTAGAATGGCAAACAAGTTGACGGCCCACCTGATGGAAAGTGGTAACCGTCGCCTATAGACATGAGCAGTACCATGTACATAACGGAGTATACTGTTTCGCCCATGATATTCCCCATGCGTTGCCATTCCTGAGGACTCAGGTGTTATTCCTCTGTACCCTGTAAATTCACGCCATATCCCACCCTTCAAACCGAAATACAGCCATGTAAACAACTGCTTCACGATAGAAACACAAATGGGACAGAGGTACCCAAGCAATCGACTTTTGTACAAAGTCTCCCTCTGGTAAGTCTCTCCTATAAGGGAGGAAGGGGGTTACCCAGTAGTCGCCATACTTGGCAAGTGGGTTTTAAGAACCTGCTGCCCTCGACCATTAAATTCCCTTAATTGCTTCTTACGACACTCGCAAGAATGGAAGGGGTGGCCCATTTTAAACCCGGGACTACACGGTAAATATTAATTGGTTAGGTACATTTACAAAATGCTGGCATTGTTTACAAAATTATTTATCTATAGAGTATTTATTGTCTTTCATAAGCAAAATCTAATATAATATATATAATTTTTTTAATTTCAGTTTGCCTCAAGAAATACGATCGTTACAATACTAAGAACACATCACGTAATTTATCTTCAAATAAATCTAATACAGAAACTAATAATAAATATACTATATTGTATAATAAAAATTCCACGTTTAACGTGGCATTTTTATTTATATATTTTATTTATTTATTTATTTATATATATATATATATATATATATATATATATATATATATATATATATATATATATATATATATATATATATCTTTTTAGATGTTTTGTACCTACTTTTGTATAGTAAATAAACTAATAAAATAAATCATATTGCATTGCTTATTTGTTCTTAGTGTCAAACATAGACTTAGTATAACGTCCTACGTACTAAAGGTGTCAAATTTGTTTACAATAATAACTGTCGTTCTTAAATAAAAAATATGCTCACGACTATCATCCCGGAAGGGGTAGTCACATTCAATTCCAAGTGGTTTTGAGTATTTTTAAGAATTAGATTTAGTACCTCAGAATCCTCTTCAACATTATCGTAATATTACCGTAACTATTAAACATGGATAATATGCAATATCTAGATGTTGAGATTTTCCGGACATTGATGACCACTCATTGCCAGCTAACCCAACCAGGTCGACCTTCACGTGGTCCCCTCTGGAAACTCGTTCTGAATTCCAGGTATATTCATCACGATTGGCTAACTGGCCTGCTTTTCTTTTTCACCTATCATGCCTCACTGGTACCCCGCCAGTGTATACTGTTAGCGCAAGCAGGGTTACCATTCCATTATCATCACTTAAAAAAAAAAGATCACCCATTGTGATATTGCCAATACCAGTCAGACATCTATATTATATATTGAGTAACTAATAGTTAATAATTGTGTTATATATATATATATATATATATATATATATATATATATATATATATAGCCACCCTTAGTAGCTATGTACTTTTAAAATTTAACATTTTAAATTAACCTATATCCTATCTTCCCAATGTAATAAAATAATAACTAGACAAAATAAAACTTCATATAAGGGCTCTTAATAAGAGCAATAGAAACCATGTATATAAAGCAAAATATGTATATATATACATATATATATGTGTATGTTACCAAATTATCTGTATTCCCTAGTATATGACATATCTATTTCACTATATTTAAACTTAAAAGTATTCTTATTTCTTATCTTCTTTTAAAAACAAGCGAAGTTGTACTTAATGTGGGTAATAATAAATACCAAAATAATCCATAACCACATTCATATCCGTCAGAAGCAATCGCTTTTACGGCATCATCCAGATTTCAGATAAGAATCTCATATCCACCCTTTCTATCCCATTAACGATCTACCGTTCAATGATTCGTCGCGAACGTACTTTTAATTGGACCAGGATTCCAATCTTCCTGCAATTCGATTTTTAAATTATTTTTTCTTTTTTGATAAATTGAAAGAGGTGAATATACCCTTCTTCTAAATAGCGAATATATCGAACGCACACAATATATTTGATCTATATTTCTTTTTTTTATTATTTTTTTTCAGTGGTATTTCGCGGCTCGCTTTTGGCCACAACAGAATATCAGTGTTTTGCTCTTTTTAGGGCAAAGCAAAAAGCTGAGTTGTGGCCATTTTGTATTACTGTGGCACACGCATGAATAAAAAAAAATTATTACTAATTTTATGCATTCTGATTTTGTTTTTGTTTTTTTTTTTTAATTTTTTAATTTTTTGTACATGTATCTTTTTTTTTATCTTTTTTCACTTTGCATTTGTGTCTTTTGCTGTTTGTGTGCTGTAAGTGATGCAAATAAAATATTTATCTATCTATCTATATGAATACTTTGTAACGTACATTTAATGTATTTGTCCTGATCACTTGCTCATTATCATCATAACAATCATATCTTTTTTTTTTGAATGATAATGTAATAATAAAGCGGGCGTGCACTAACGGTATACGCTGGCGGGACACCAGTGAAGGATGATGGGTGAGGGATAATGGGTGAGGATGAAGCAGACCAGTTAACCCATCGTGACGAATACACCTGGAATTTAGCACGATAGTTTCTATTGGGGAACCACGTGGAGGTCGACCTGACAGGGTGTATTGCTAGCTATGGGACTGGTAGTCCGCATTACTAATAATCCTTTCCCCCCTCCCCCATCAACATAATATCAGCCGTTAACTGTCCACTTCTAAACATAGGTCTCACCCTAGTAAGGTTTTCACCAGTCGTAATCACGCTTGGCAAGTAGGTTGGCAACCGCACTTAACCTTTGGTGGTGTTTTAAGAGGAATGCTTTTGCCTGTCCATTATATTCCTTTTGTCGCCTCTTACGAGACACGCATAGTCGTTCTATGGTACCTATTGTAAATTCTCAATTTAATTACTACAACCTATGTACACCAGATGTACCTCTGTCCCATTCGTGTTTCAAACGTGAAGCAGCTGTGTTTGCATGGCTGTGTTTCGGTTTGAAGGGTGGGATATGGCAGTGAATTTACTGGGTACAGAGGAATAACACCTGAGTCCTCAGGAATGGCAACGTATGGGGGGTATCATGGGCGTAACAGTATACTCTGTTATGTCCATGGTACTGCTCATGTCTATAGGCGACGGTTACCACTTTCCATCAGTTATATATCACTTTCCATACATTATACAGTTGTATAAAAAAAAACCAGAGGGAGACTTTGTACAAAAGGCATCTGCTTGGATATCTTTGTCTCATTCGTGTTTCTGCCGTGAAGTAGTTGTGTTTGCATAACTGTGTTTCGATTTGAAGAGTGAGATATGGCAAAAAAATCACAAGGTACGCATGGAGAGTATCATGGGCGACACAATGTACTCAGTTATGTCCATGGTACTAATTACACCTATAAGCAACGGTTACAACATTCCATCCGATGGGCCGTCAGCTTATTTGCCATTGTAAGTTGTATAAAAAAAAAGAACGCTAGATGTGTACCATACTAGACTATGTATTCAATACAATTAACATCTTAATACGTTAAGGTATTAAATTATAAAATTGATCGATATTTTTATTTATTTATCCATTAGTACATGGCATGTGTGCATGGCGGACTTAATGCTACAAGCATTCTCTCCCAGTCAACCATAAGGAATTATTAGAATACTCAAATGCGGTACTAAACTTTTCTCATGTAAAAAGAAATATACCCATTAGATTTTTTTTGTATACCCACAATTGTTGTTGCTAATCCAAAAAAAAATAGAACATAATAAGAATATCAAAGGAAGAAAAAAAAACAAACATAATTTCAGCCATCTGTTGCCAGTTCTAAGAAACTTCATTTATAATATAAGAAAAAGCTAAATTAATTCTCGGATAGAAGTCGAACTCGAGATGGAATATCACGCAAATGATTGAGTACGCCATCTTATATATATATATATATATATATATATATATATATATATATATATATATATATATATATATATATATATATATATATATATATATATATATATATATATATATATATATATATAATATATATATATATATATATATATATTGGTACCTGCTATCGCTCAACGATGTGTAAATAGAGTTATTTACTAAGGACCAACGAACTAAGTACACTGACATTATGGTATCGTTATATTGTTTTTCTAGGAACAAGTCGTCTGCAGAATAAACGAGTTTTAGATACGAGTTATTATACTCATATTTTTTTTTTAATTTTATATTTTTTACCAGAGACAAACTGTACAAAAGTTGCTTGTTTTTCAACCGACTTCAAAAGGGAGGTTCTCAATTCGATTGTAACTTTATATTATGTTTGTTACCTTATAACTCCGTCAGGTCTAAACCGTTTTGGAAAATTCTTTTTTACCTGAAAGGATATACTTATAAATAAGGGACCACCATAGGAATATTATCAAAATTGGTTTAATATTAAAAGTAAAATAACTGGTTTTTTTACAATTGGAGCCGGTTTTTTTTTTGCAGGACTCTATCTTTATTTAGTGATGTGAAGTAATAAAAATGGAATGTTTGTCTGTTCAGCCTGCGCTATCGATATACACTAGCGGAGTACCAGTGGAGGATGAAATAGGAGTATGAAGTCCTTAACATATAATAATGAAATGGTATATGCTGGCGGGGCACTAATTAAAGATGATAGGTGAAATTGAAAGCAAGTTAGTTGGCCCATCGTGACGACGGTTACCACCTTTTTTTTATTTTTTTATACAACTTAGAATGGCAAACAAGCTGACGGCCAACCTAATGGAAAGTGGTAACCGTCGCCTATAGACATGAGCAGTACCATGGACATAACAGAGTGTACTGTTTCGCCCATGATACCCCCCATGTGTTGCCATTCCTGAGGACTCAAGTGTTATTCCTCTGTACCCTGTACAGCCATGCAAACACAACTGCTTTACGGTAGAAACACGAATGGTAGGCCGTCAGCTTGTTTGCCATTCTAAGTTGTATAAAAAAAAAAAAATAAGAATTAACCACGATCATTTCTAGGGGTAACCGCATGGAGGTCGACCTTATAGGGTATATTGCTAGCAAGAAAGCCACTAATCCCTGTTCATCGAGATCAATTCGTCGGGAACTAACGACGCTGGTTTTCGAATGGAGGACCGTATGCATATCGACCTGAACTATTTTGCTAGCAATAAACGTACTAGAGTTCATTACTAACAATTCTCTCCTCTCGAGTCCCACATATATTTTTGCCACTAAATAGTAATCTACTATACTTGCATGGCTGTGTGTCTGTTTGAAACTTAGACATTAGGTATACTAAGTCTATGATTTGAAGAGTGAAATTAGAAAGTACGTTCCTTCATATCTAAAGTCACAACTACTGTGCCCATTTAAAATTATAATATCAAATTTAACATTGTAACTTATTAAAACAACAGTTGTGTTTTTACGAAAATAAATTTTATTTCTATTTCATTTCATATATTGTAGTTCATAGCCGACGTCCATGTTGCTGTTCTCGGAAATTTCACTAATATCAAAGATATATGTTTTTAAACAACGACAATTAGCATCTACAACAACAACAATTACAGTAACAGAATCGCACAGTACTTGCACGTCATTAATCGAGTAATTTTAAAATATAACCTTTATTGTTGTACTTATTTGTATTTACCAAAATTATACCTAACC